AATATTAGTTGGTTCAAGGTCGGATTTAAATTGTTCTTTAAATAAACAAAATAACCAAATATACCGAACTATATGAAAAAATATCTATTTTTTATTTATTTATATTTTTTTATGAAAATCAATAATATTTTTCTATCTGTAATTTTTAAGTATTGCGAGTGCACATTAGGGTTATACGGATTGCACATAAATATCTACAAAATTGCACATAATCGAACGAGACCAGACGAACAAAAATTTAGTACAAAAAATTTAATATTTTTATTCGATTATTATTATTATTATTATACTATTATTATTATATATCGATTATTTCGATATGATGTCATTTTTTATTCAAATAACCAAAAAAAATAAACTATATTATAAATATTATTTTTTATATTTTCTTAGTTATTTAGATAATCGAGATAGTCGAACGGTCGACTACATAAAAAATACTGTTATTTTTTATTAGTATTTATTTTTTATTTATATTTATTTCAATAAAAACTATAAAATATATTATATATTAAATGATATGTTAAAATATTATTTTATAGTTTGATTAATTACAAACTCACCCATGAACTCAATTGTAATTAATTAAAACTGTTAAAATTGTAATTAAGCCCCTAAATGTTATCAAATTTACAAAATTAAATCCTTCATCCTTGTTCATTAATTTACAAAGTTGAACAAAAAAAAAATCTGAAAAAAGGTCTCAATCGCTCAAAAATCTGAACAAAAATCTTTCGTCCGCCGCCGCGTCGTTGCCTCTCATGCCGGTGACGAGATCTAGCCGTCTCAAAACAACATATTCTCTGCGCCGACGTCTTGGTGGCTCTCGCCGTGAAGGCCACCGTCGCAGTCGAACGGATTGGGGATCCGTCAACTGAGGTGTCGTCTGGATCCTGGATTGGACGACGATCGCCGGTGGACTGTGGGCGGAGAAATGGATGCATCAATCGACGGAGGACGGAGAGATGGTTGCGGCAATCGACGGCGGTGGTCGACAGCAAGCGGAAGAATGGATACGGCAATCGACGGCGGGCGGC